AACACGTTTGCTTCAAAAAATAAGCTAGGAAGGGAAAGGCTGCAGGAGGACAGGCAGCTTACGAAAGCTCCCGTGTGTGAAGGGCATCAGGAAGCAGAACAAAGGGCACGGGCCCAGGGATGGTCACCCGCAGGGCAGGACTGCAGAGCACCCCACAAATTTTCTTAGGACACCTAGCCATGCCCAGCATAAGAGTGACATGACAGAAGAACCCAGAAGCAAGGGCCTCCTACAGTACCCAGGAGTGAGATGCCCAGGAGGGAGGTGCTGGGTGGGAGAGTCGGGGGAACGTGCACAGCACAGAGAGAGCCCAAAGGCAAGAGGGGCTTTAGCTTCCTAAAGGGATGTGAAGCCAGGCTGTGTCCTGCTGCACAGCAGGGCCCTGGAGTCGGGCCAGTGTGGGTCCCGGCCACATAGGTACTCCATCAGGATGTGGTGGCCACGTGGCCCTGCCTGCTTGCCTAGCTAACCTGCTGCATGAGACACCAGGGCCAGCCTCTTGGGTGCTGGCAGCTGGCCACAGCTGGAGGAGCCTCCAGGTAGCCGGGGCCAAGGTGCTTTCCCATCCTTGGGGCCAGTGTGCCCAGCCAGCTGGGGACACAGTGGGAAGGGAGGAAAGGGCTCTCCTGGGGAACATGCGGGTCACTCTACTTGTGCAGTACCGCCTGAGTTCTGTGATGTGCTCATCCCAGAGGGGCACAGTGGACTCTGGAAATAGGCAGCCTGCCTGCGGTGGCAGCTCAGCCCCACCACGTCCTAGCCCCAGGCTGTTTCTTAATTCTTTTGTGCCTCAGTTTCTTCATCTATAAAATGGAGATAAAAATAGTTCCCACCTTCACACTGTTGTTCGGGATTCTGAATGAGTGAATGGACATGAAGTGCTCAGGACAATGCCTGATAATCACGATCTGTGATCTTATACTCATTATCCATCACACTCATCTATGTATTTATAAGTAGAATTGCTATAGATGACCATCACCTGTGGCCTGGTTTAATGAAAGACCAGAAGAGTAAGTAGTATGTGGTTAATCCATAGTTTAATCCTTAATTCTTGAACATCTGTAAATAGATTGTCAGCTCTATAGACAATTTTAGTATTCAAAGCAACACATCTTTATTATTCAAAGCTTTCAGGATTGAAGTATCTTTGTGTGTGTGAGAGAGTTCTTTAAATAAAAGACAAGGCACACTAAACTGTAAACTCTGCATGGATGGTAACTTTCCAAATCTGCTAAAACTGAAGATGAGTAGGTAAGTTCTCATTGCTTTAAAACACTCTTTAGCTGCTGTTGTCTTTCCAGCACTGAGCAGGGAATCATGAATGTCATAAACTGTTTGACAGTAGCTGGATTTTTAAAGACACAAGGGAAGTACTGGCTAGAAAAATCCTAAGGGTCAAATAAGATATTTAATAGCTGGCCTCGTTTTCATTCATAGGAATTATACTAAGCTTCATTTTCCTTTTCACGTTTTGAAAGGTTATAAAAGTATCAGTTTTGTCCTTCTCTATCTAACACAGATATTCAAGTCATTTTGCACAGGCTGATGTCACTGGTCATGATCCTATTTACCTTCTTTTAATTGAAGAAACATTCTCTGTAGATTTAAAACCATTTGCGCCAAAGATTAGGGAAGGCTGTCTTCTACACATGTTTGAATGTCACAACCGAGACCCAGGTCCTGATCACAGTTTCAGCCAGTGTCATCTGTAAGGACTCAAACGAGTCATTCTCACTCACAACAGTACCTGTCAAGTTGAGTGACTTTCCCCTCGCCCTTGCACTTGGGTTTAGTGTTCACTGAGAGCTGCCTACAGTGTGCTCTGCCCCGTGGGTGCTGGAGGGGTGGGTCAGACACCATGGCCCCTGTTCTGCCGGGCTTGGGCTGTTTTGGGGGAGGGGGAGTGACGGCTGTAAAGAGACGGCTCAGCAAGATCTGGCAGCACCTTGGAGCTGGGGGGCCAGGGCCCCTCAGTCCTCACCCACCCAGCCCTGTGGTCCCTCTCTCCCAGTCTTTCCTCGCAGGCTCCCTGACCTTCTGCACAATCCTAAGGACTTCTTATTCTCTCTCAGGAGGGGGATCCAGACAGAGACAGGCTAAATCCCAAACCCCACAGTTCCTAGATGTCCAGTGTCGGGACTAAAAATGCTGACATACTGCTTGAGGTCTCTGAATGGCCTTTCTTCAAATTGGAGCGAATCAGTAACAGCTTCCTCCTGATGAGGCCGCTTCTCGTGTGTCTGTAATGGCAGCCTGGTTTCTCTCCACTGCAGTCTTTCCCGTGCCGTGCTGTTGGCCTTTCTGCTTCGTTCAGCCTGAGCGTGACGCAAGGGTAGACATGGGTGGTGTTGGACAGAGCAGTCTAGCAGAAGGACACCAACAGACACCCGAGTGGTCATTCAGGGCACAATGGGTGCAAGGCTCGTGCCTGAGCACAGGCTGGGGCCACAGGCAGGATCTGCAGAGAGGGTGGTCCACTGACTCCTCCTGTGACGGCCATGAGGACTGTCTCCCTGAATGGTGACACAACCCAGGAGAGGAAGGCCAGATCAGAGCTGAGGGCGGGAGAGGGCAGAGACATGTCACTGCTCCTCACTCCTGCCCCTGCACGCGGCCATCAACACCCGGGCCCTCTAACTCAGAACCCCACGTGACGTCGCTACAGAAATGGCAGACTGGCCACAGTCCCCTCTAGGAGACCTGTACTTAGTGCTCAGTGAACACAGTCCTCTGACCTTCACCATGCGAGGTGGGATTTCCCTGCTACTGAGGAAGACAGGCAAGGAAACTTATCACATGTGTTAGCACGTGGTGCACGCACGGCACGGCCAGGTCAAGAGATGCTCGCTCTCTCCCATTCGCTCGCTCTCTTCTGCTTTTCGCTCTTCACCATGGGAGACCAGGTTTGGCACGTTCAAAGAGTCCTAGGATGGGAGGGGGGGCAGACCGGAATGATGCCCAGAGAGTGGACAGCTCTCTCTGTGGAAAGTTGGACCAAAAAATGCACTTGGAGAGGGAGCAGTGAGAGGGAGAGGGAAAAACAGGTGCGTGAGGACTCTTCCTTTTCATTTTCAAGCCAAAGGATCCCAGCAGCTCAGGTAAAGCCAGACAAGAACCCTGGGGAAGGAACCGGCCCTAACCACGGCGGGTGCTCAGCAGCCCTGGTTCAAACGACCCTGACAGGCGGGCTGCCGCTCTCTGCCAGCGGATAAAGTCCAAAGGCGTAAGCGAGGCATCTACCTTCCATGCGGTAACAGTGCACATTCTCTCTCTCTCTCTCTCTCTCTCTCTCTCTCTCACTCAGGAGGCGCTTGTGTCCTTGGGAAGAACTGAATGTGCAGTGAAGCAAGTGGTTTGGGACAGCAGGTTGGCTGAATATTCTAGAAAGAGTCTGAAACTGCTCAATGTAAAGAAGATTTTTCTTTAGAAACAGAAGTCTGATTCTTCCCCTCTTGGACTCCGCGGAGTCCTTTCCTTCCTGAAAGGACAGGAACAATGTCACACTGTATGTTATGGCTGGTTCCCTCAACCTGTGCTGTCTAGACTCCGTGTGCTTCTACTTAAAAAACAAAATAAAACAAAAATAAAAACAACCCTCCGCCACCTAGGCACCACTCTACCATCTTAAAACTATTTCTGGCAGGAGAAGAATGCTTCATTCAGGAGCCGCCCCGACGGGGAGACCAGCGGGAGGAAAGGGCTATGGGCCCTGGACACGGCCAACGGGTCAGACTGCAGCCTCACGGGCAGGACCCGCCTCCCAGCAGCCCGCGTCACCTTACCTGGAGGCTGATTATCACGTGCCAGGCATTTTCCAACAGACAAAGCAAAAGGAAGCGAAGGCCTCCATTATCTCAGAGAAACTCCCACTTTCTTCTTAACTTCACAGTCTAAGGCTCCCCAGAGAAAAGGTAAGATTGAGACTTGCCTACTGGCCGACTGGCCTGTTAGGCCTTGGGTGGATCACACAGAAGTCAGTCTTCACAATTAACAGCAGGATAGAAATGTAATTTTTCAAAAGATCTTTCCATGGCTATTCACCCAACAAATACTTTCTGAATTCATACCACATGCCAGGCATCACTGTTGCGTAATGTTGCGAAACACTCTTATAGCAAAAGAACATATTATAAGAGGTAGATGCCTTCAAGGAAGAAGTGATCTCAAAGAGAGTGACCTATATTTGTTGATAATGCAAGGGTCACTTACAATCACTTCATCATTTCTTTTTTCAAACACACATTCTCCAAGGGTAATAAAGTCATAACTAGAAAGAAATGCATTTCATTCTTTATCAGATATTAAGGTCTAGAGAAACACCATTGTCCTTCTTGAAAAGGATAGAGAATAGCCTGATTTCCCCTCCTAATGGAGCAGGGTTCTTGCTATCTGATTTACTTTACAGCTTTTTTTTTTTTTAAATAAAAATTTCAGTGAACAGATGTAACTGATTTAGAACAACTTACTACAAAGGGCAATGCCAGGAGGATCCTACCCAGGGAAGAGAGATGAAGCCAGCATCCAACAGCACACCGCTCACGGCTTATTAAAAAGTCCCAATCCTCAAACCTTAAGAAGGTTATGCGAGTCTGGAGAAGAGCAGTGCCGAGCTGCTCTGTGCTTTGGATAATAACGTCCCTCCTGCAGCAGAGAAGGGGCAGACGCTGCCTCCTGCCCTGGGCCATGGAGTCTCACTTTGGGCTCTCAGGGCAGGCAGGCTGGGCTGGGCTACAGCCCCAACCTCTAGCAGGGGATGACAAAAGGCCATGCATCACTGCTCCTCATCACATCCTACTGGGCAGGCAGATCCCTGCTTCGGTTGGCTGTGTTACACCTTATGGGTAAGAATTTCCGTAAAAGAAATGCAGACCTCTATGAACGTGTACCATCCTGCACATGCACATGAGTGTCCCACCTCCCCCAGCAATACCTTACAGCACAGTCAGGTGCAAACTGATGGGCTTGAAGAGCCACATGGTGCCGGGGCGGAGCCTCACCTGGGCCTCTTGTCTATGGTGGCCACGCACACGTGCTGCGAGGGCACAGCCGTCCACTTCTTCGCCTCCATGACGAGGGCTTCCGCGTCCACCAAGCCAAATCCATAGAGATGGCTAACTGAAAAGACAGGGCCTTCAGACCGGCGCCCCACGCCCCCCAGGAATGGAGCAAGGCCCGCTCCCGCCCTCTGCTCGGCTCCCACATAGGACACATGAATCGTGACCGCCACGGTCCTGGGACAGACTGTCTGTGTCACTCAAGGGCTAGAAGGGCGCGGACCGTCTCCGGAGAGCCCCAGGCTGCAGGACCAGCCCTTCTGAGGACTGCTCCAAGGTCCCGACTGCTCTGCACTCTCTGAAACGTGTCCCATTTTGGTGCATGGTAAGAGCAGCCTAGGGCTTTCTTTTCGTGACATGAGAACAGGTCTCCTTACATTAAAGGGATGTGTTGGCATCTGTGGTCCCCGAACCTTAAATCAGACAAGATAAACAAAATCTGAGACCCTCTGGTTCATGCGACCACGATGTGCAATAAACACAATAAAACAAGGCCGCACTCAGCTCTTCGGCCATTTTCTTTCCCTGCCGAATTCCCCGTGTTCAGGGAGAGCGGCACAGACCGTGAGGACCAGTGAACTGGCCCGATCCCATGTTTCATTTGGCCAAGGCAGGAGAGTTTCAAAGTTTAATTTAAGAGGCAAGGTCGAGAACTAGATACAATCTATTTTCCTACTTAATTAGGCCAAAATTGAAATGTAGGTCAGCTCTTGTTACAGCACACCACTACCACCAACATTCCAGCAAAACAAAGATGTATTAGGCCTAATCAATGGCCTCCTTATTGAAAGTCCCTTGGAACTTAGAGTAACAATGCTTGACCTATATTTTAGAGATAGTAGTATCAGGCTTGCTGTCGAAATAGTTGGACCTGAGCTTCAGAAAAGGGAAAAAAAAGCCCTCACCAACATACCATGGCTGAATGTAAATCTTTTTCAAGCATCTCTGGGAAGAAGCCAGACAAGTGAAGCCAGTGGCACAGCCCTATAATTACCTGCTTGAGAGGCTCCAAAGATCTGGGTTACAAGCCCTCACATGGGTTGGTTTCTTGGTACCTGGATCTGTACCAGGCTGAGCTGGGGGTGGAGACCTCGCTGTTCTATCAGTTACTTTTATAACACGGGGGCTTGCTGACAGAAGTTTTACAGTTAGAAAGTAACTTACATGACTATCTCAATGTCCTCAGCGTACAGATGAGGAAACTGAGGGCTAGTTTCAAAATCATGGCGCTACTCAGGGCTAAGAATGCATGTTGCCCTTAGGTGGCACAGAAACAAACGTTACCTATATAGTATGATGACGGATTTATTTTAATGTGAATTAGAAAAAAATATAACCACATCAAACCCATGATTAACTAGATGTAATACAGTTTCCTTTTAAAATATATTTCTTTATGGAAAAAAAAAGCAAGTCAATTTAAAGAGAACTATTACGTGAATACTGGTACAGGTGGTCCCCAGATGCGGCAAAAGTTGTGAAGTTTAGGGAATCCTGAATTCTAGTGACCTTAGATTTCTTCTTTAATGCCAGTGTGAGCTTCCAGGATACTTTTCTTAAATTACTGGATATATACTTTTCATCCTTGTGATACACAATTTATGTTATTTGGGGATTCTTTTTGAGAAATTCATGCTGCCCCTTAATGTAGATTCCAGGAGGTACCCAGAGGGCCCACCAGGACAGAGTGACACGCAGGTCCTCACCCAGCCCACCAGGAGCCACAGCCGCACCTTTATGACCAGCCCCGTTGACTTTCCAGTCATTTGCTTTCAGGTGGGCTGGCCTGGATGTCTTCACCAGCAGGTGCTGGACGTCCCTCCAGGTTAACTGGCTGCTGCAATGACACAATGACAGACTGCTGTAGGCCACACAGGTCAACAACAATGGCTGCACAGGTCCATTCAGAGGAGGTGTGTCAGGAGCCAGCCCCGAGTCTGGACTCGAGGAAACCCTGCAGACTCCATGCCTTGGCAAGGGTTTATTTCACAACCTCTTTGTAAAGAATGCTTTCCAGTGATTCAATCCTGAGATAAACAGTACAATGGGTGTCCCACAATCCATAGCATTAAAAACCCAGCCTTGCTGCCAAGCTCTGCTTGTGTCTGTACAAGGGCTATACTGGAAACTGTGGCAGTGCAGAGGCGGGCATCCTTACCATAATAGCAAACGCTGCTAAGTATCTGGGGCTGTTCTTCACCCTGATGAGCAAATGCTATGGCGCACCAGAGCATGCTCAAGCCACCATGTGCCCAGACCCCACCCCTGTGGGGACCCACTGGCTACAGACTGTAATTCAAGATTGTAGTAATTCTAAATTTACAATACATTTATTTTGGTGCAAAGTAGAAACATTTCATTAAAAGAACACACGCCCACTAATAAAAATGCATAGGTCAGATTTCTTTGACTCCAAGGTACATTTTCCTGCATTTTTAACACCTCTGGAAACAGGGTCCATCAATAATGATGCTCTTAAAACCCCCTCTATCTACAGCATCAGGACCAGTAACAGACAAATGCTGGAAGCACTCTTGCTGCAGCCCTCGTCCCCTCTTCTTGGCTGGTGCCTGTCCTCACCCACAGTTATCACGGTCATCTTTCCAATCACTCACTCTTTGCGTGTGTTTAAAAACATCCATAACCTAAAATTTACCATCTTAACCCTTTTTAAGTGTACAGTTCAGTGCCACTAATACACTCACACTGTTGTGCAGCCATCCCCACCATCTGTCTACAGAGCTTTCTCATCTTCCCCAATGGAAAATCTGCACCCGTTAAACACTCACTCTCCATTTCCCCCTCTCCCAGCCCCTGGAAACCACCAGTCTACTTTCTGTCTCTACGAATTTGATGACTCAGGCAGCCTCTTATAAATGAAATCATACAGTATTTGCCTGGTTTATTTCATTTAGCATAATGTCCTCCAGGTTCATTCATGTGGTAGCCGGTGTCAGGATTTCCTTCCTTTTTAAGGCTGAACAACATTCCATTGCACGCAGGTATGCACCATATCTCATTTATCCATTCATCCCTCAACGGACACAGGTTGCTTCTACTTTTGGCTATTGTGAGTAACGCTGCTAGAAACATGAGTGTACAAATATCTGTTCAAGTCTCTGCTTTCAATACTTTTGGGTACACACCCACAAGTGGAATTGTTGGGTCATAAGCTAATTCCGTGTTTAATTTTTTGAGTAACCGCCACACTATTTTCCACGGTGGCTGCACAATTTTACATTCCCACCACTTGCCTCCACTTTGCCTGTCTTCCTTCTAGGACCTCCCCTGTGGCTTGAGTCTTGGGATACATGTGCACTCCTCCCTCGGGGCTCACACTCTCCAGGCTCTAGCCCTGGCCTCCCCTGATTTCTCCAACATGTTCTTGCCACTGTGCCCATCACCAGCCAGTCACTGGCCTCCTGGCTGCCTCACCCCAACCATGTCCATCAGTCCATTTTCCAGACCTTTGCTTTGCATTGGCTGACCTGCTCTCCTCCCCTTATCCACTGCCCCTCCTGGAAGCCCAAAGCCAACGTCACTGTTAGAGAAGGATTCTGAGGCCCTGAGTGGCCCAAGGCCTTGCACTCTGCTGGAGTGGGCACAGGCACAGGCTTTAGAGTTCAGACGGAGCAAGTGTGGCTGCACCCCTCGTTACCTGTGTGACTGGGCAAGTTCGTGCTCACGTCAGCGGGGCCTACTCAAGGATGGCTAATGCCAGTCCTCTAGGAAGTTCAGCATAAGGTGCCAGGAAGCATGAGCTCCAGAGTTTAAGACACAATGGGTCCAGAAAGGGAGAATCTTAGAAACCATTTTATTATGAGGAAATCCATTTTATTTTTGACTCTGGTAATAAAACGGCAGATCCAGTTGTATGGAAAACATGTCTAAGAAATGGTGTTGAAAACAGTTTTCAAAGAAGAAGGGACTGAGGGGAAGTCCCAAGACTGCCCCAAACTGTGGGACGACCTTTGGACAACTCTTATGCAGGAGGGTCCTTCCTCATTTTTGTCGCGCACTGTCCACAGGCCCTCCCTATTCCCCTGGGAGCTTCTCACTTTGTCCTCCTTTCTTCTACAGTAGAAGTGGACAGAGTGAGGAGGCAGTGCTGTGCCCGTGAGCAGCAGGCCTGCTCCCAGGCACCCGAGCTGCCCCAGTCTCCAAGTGTCCTCACTCGGTCCTCAGCGCCCCTGGTGATAAGCTGCTCCTTCCTTGGCCAATCCTATATGTTACCGCTGTCTTCAGTGAAGTTTGCTTGGTCTGCCACCCGTAACTTTCAGAGGATGAGCTAAAATGATAAGGAAGAGGACTACCAGAGTTTGTGTCCACAGGCCAAGTTTAATGGGACAATCTGGCACAAAACAGGGTTTGTGTTTTATTTAGTTTCAACTAACAAAATTTCCTGTATGTTTCCAATAAGGATTGAAAGAAAAATATAAAACAATAAATTGCTAATGCAGCTTTCCACATAAGTAACTAATTATTCAGAGGTTTCTGCAAGAGCCTCAGGACACAGAAGCTAACATTTTGGCTGGAAAATTGAAAATATTTAGCTGCTTCTTTGTTAAACTGGTAGCATTTGAGTTTTATGCTCTTTTGTCTTGTGCAAATCAACATGCAAACATACCTAATTACAACAATTTAAGCAACTCAAATATGATTTTTGAATCACTTAAAATCTCATCTGTAACAAATGACTACTTCAAATGGCCAGGTTGTTCTGAGCCAGTTTTGATGTCTAAACTTAAATTTGTGTTTGACATGATGCTTGCATGTGTAGCAAACTCTCTTTCCTTTCTGACATCCACAGAGTAACAACTCTAGAGTGTTTATTGGCTTACAACAGATAAAACATCACCACTGTGTCAATTTATGAACTAAAGTTCACAAAGGGCAGCTGTAACAGCCTAAAGTATAATTTTGGCGTGTGACGCAGACCGGGACGTAGGCCTGTGGTTCCGGCCCACCTAGCTCCCTGTGGTCCTACAACAGGCGGGAGACCGTGAGCTTTAAAAGGAAAAAAGGGAAGGAACCGCTTCATGCCCATTAAGGATGGCCTTAAAAAGGAAGGAAGTCCTGACACATGCCACAACATGGATAAAACTCGAGGACATTATACTGCATGAAATAAGCCAGTTACAAAAAGACAAATACTGTATGATTCCACCTATATGAGGTAGCTGAGTAGCCAAACTCATAGAGACAGAAAATAAAATGGTGGTTGCCAGGGGCTTGCAGGAGGAGGAATGGGGAGCATTTTGGGCTGAACTGTGCACCCCTCCTCCAATTCATATGTTGAAATCCTAAACCCCAGGACCTCAGAAGGTGACAGTATTTGGAGATATGACGTTTAAAGATGTAATTAAGGTAGAATGGAATCATGAGGGTGGGCCCTAATCCAATATGACTGATGTCCTAAACGGATCTAGACACAGACACACAGAGGAGAGACCATGTGAGGACACAGAGAGAAGGCAGCCATCTGCAGCCCAAGAAGAGAGACCTCTGAAGAGACCAAACCTGCCCACACCTTGATCCTAGGCTTCCAGCCTCCAGAGCTGTGAGACATAAATTCCTGGTGTTTCAGCCGACCGATCTGTGTGTTTTGCTAGGGCAGCCCTAGCAGACTAATGCAGAGAGCTGTCGTCTAATGGCTAACGGGGTCTCAGTTTGGGATGGTGAAAAAGTTCTAGAGGTGGATAATGGTGATGGTTACTCAACAATGGGAATGTGCCTCACGCACTGTATGCTTAAAAATGGCTAAAGTGGTAAATTTATGTTATGAGTATTTTACCACAATAAAAACCTTTCTAAAAAAGGAAAAGAAGGGAAGGCAGGTGGGGACTTACTTTGCTTCTAAAGCCAAGGCAATGATTCCTGCCACCATGGGGGCTGAAACTGAGGTCCCGGTGTGGCCGTCGGTGCAGCGCTGACGCAGATCCGTGGTGACCTGGGCGAGAGGGTGGCGAGAGGCTAAGTCAGCTCTCAGGAGAAGTCAGACGCTATTCAAGACGCTGTTCCTGGGCCATGCAATCCTTGGTTCCAAGGGTGGAAGAGGCCCTACACAGGCACATCTCGGCAGCCAAGGTTTCCACGGTGTCTGGTACTCCCTGCCAAACTGCTTTGCTCTCATATGTAAAAACTGGACCCACTGCAGCAACGAGCTGATCATGGGGTGAGAACAGGGAGACAAGGCAGAGGGAAGACCAGCAGCTGGAAGCCACATACCCTCACTACTGCAGCTGCGCATGCTGACACAAAGGTGAGACAAATGAAACAAAGAGGGGCTCTGCATGGCAGGGTCCCCACGGCCAGACCACCTGCCAGAGGCCACATTAATGACCCCCAAGTCACTCCCTGACTTCAGAGCAGCTGGAAACTCATGGGGGTGCCAAGGTGACCCAGAGCGTGTTCCTGCCTTTAGCCAGAAGGTCATAGTCAGTCATGGATGGTTCTCCACCAGGACATCCTCCTCAGATAGCTGACAGTGTCCCAGGTAGCCAGTTCCATCTGCAGCAGCAGATAAACCTGGAGCATTCTTGACCTCACAGAGCCTGCTGTGTGGGATCATAAAGCCGGCCATTCTCTCTGGGAAAGCAGAGCTGGCTCTGTCAACTGAGGGGCTCTGCCTGCCCTCCTCTGAGGTGCTGAAACCAGGCTGGGTGGGGGTACTGATTCTGGACCTCAATATCGCAGGGCCTGACTTGTACTTTGCCTTTGCACTGAAATGGAGAAGCAGCCCCTGTCGGATCCGCGCGTGCGGGTTCAGCTGAGTGCCTTCTACTGTGCTAGATGAGAGTTTGGCCCTAGTTTTACTCCTGTGCACTTTGAAGATGGAATTAAGGTTGCTAACCTTAAATCAGAGAGAACATCCTGGATTATCAGCTGGACCCAATGTAATCACAGGCCCTTCAAAGTGGAAGGAGGCAGAAAAGTTTGTTAGAGAGATGAAGCACACAGGGACCCATCCCATCACTGCTGGCTTTGAGGAGGGAGTTAGGGGGACTCCAGCCAAGCACTGTGGGTGGCCTTTAGAAGCTGAGAACAACCCTCGGCGGACAGCCCACAAGGAAACGGGAGCTCAGTCCTATAACCACAAGGAGCTAAATTCTGCCAAAATTTGAATGAGCAAGGAACGGATTCTCCCAGAGAGCCTCCGGAAAGTTACACAGACTGGCCAGCACCTGGATTTCAGCCGCGTGAGGCTCGGAACTGAGACCCAGTCAAGGCTGCTGCACTTCTGACCTACAGAACTAGGAGATAATAAATCTGCGCTCTTTTAAGCTGCTAAGTTTGGGATAATTGGGATGACAGCAATAGGAAACTAAGAGACCCATCAACTGCAAGGCTCCAGTAGGCCATGTGCATAACCCTGGAGAATGAACTTCCCCAGTGATAACAATCGAGACACTTGCAAACAGAGCATCTTCCTTTGTCACGTTTCAGCTGGGCTGACAATCATCCAGTGAGAGGGGATCCATCCTGTGTCACACACACACACACAAAGGTTCGACGGGAGTGCTGGAAGAAACCAGCCTCCTCCTCCTCCCTGTGCAGCAGGACTGAGACATCCTGACAGGGCGGGGGTCGGGGGGGTGGGCAGCAGAGGGAAAGGGAGTAGGGAGGAGGATGCAACTTCTCTAACCCCGGGATCTTCATCTGCAAATGGGCATAATGATATGTCCTTCACAGGCTTCTGTGACAGTCACAGCTGGCACCTGGCACAGACTTACACTCAGTAAATGTTGCCAGTGAGGGAAACTGAGGGTGTCTGGGCAGGAGGCCAAGCTCTCAAGAGCAGGTAAGACCCATGGCTGGCTCCCCAGCCTCAGGGAAAGGACCACCATGGAGGGAGCAGAGGGGCCTCACCGTAGGGAGGGGATGGCTGAACCAAGGTGGGCAGCCCCCCTCCTGAGATCAAACATCGGGCATGGAACACAGCTCCTGTTCAGTGAATGAATGGAAGAGCCAACGAGGGGACAAGACATGCTCGCCTCCAGTGTTACCGCTTTGGTCAAGAGTCAGCAGGGGCTGGCCCTGTGGCCGAGTGGTTAAGTTCGCGCGCTCCGCTGCAGGCGGCCCAGTGTTTCGTTGGTTCGAATCCTGGGCGCGGACATGGCACTGCTCATCAAACCACGCTGAGGCAGCGTCCCACATGCCACAACTAAAAGGACCCACAACGAAGAATATACAACTATGTACCGGGGGGCTTTGGGGAGAAAAAGGAAAAAATAAAATCTTTAAAAAAAAAAAAAAAAAAAAAAAGAGTCAGCAGCGGCAATCCCTCCTTCAGGTGAACGCTGGCCAGAGCTCACTGCACAGAGAGGAAGGGAGAGGGAGAGGACGGAGGAGATGGAGCTCTGATTTCCATCCGACACCTGCCTGAACTCTACAGACTGGGAGCTGCCGACCATCCAGAGCGGTCACTCCTCCCCTTGAAGATTCTCTAAGGGGACTCCGAGCAAAAACCTGGCTCTAGCTGAGGTGGAAAAAAAAAAAAAATGCCCTTCATGTTATGGAGAATAGTTCCAGGACAGCAACTACAACTGAGTGTTTTCTCTTTCACCCCTCTTCCAACTACCCCTTCTCACCCATATGTTACTGCTCAGGAAAGAGATTTTTTTGAAAAAGTAAAAGGCACTGAGGCATTTTGTAGCTAAGGTGTGCACACACACAAACATGCACACAGTGTGATTAATTAAGCAAATAAAGCTGCAGCCTGCTCCCAGGGATGGGAAACACTGTCCTCCCAGCATGAAGCCCTGGGTACAAAGTGTCCAACGACACAAGCTCCGCGTTGCACCCCGTCAGTTTTCTGCACAGGCAACTGTTTAACAAGCCTCCAGCACGACCACGTTCAAATCAGCCAGATTCCTAAATGAACAGGACACCATTCAGAATCTCGGCTGCCCGTCCCGGGGAGTTGCTCCAGGAGAAAAGGAAAAGAACAACTTAAATTAGTACCTTCGTTAACCAGCCCGGCCGCTGCCAGGCTGGCGGCAGAACCGTGGTGGCTGACCTTTGAGCTGCTTCAGAGCAAAGCAGAGAACAGGAAGCCTGTATGCTTCCACAGAAAAATGTAAAAATAAGTTTGCAAATAATTTCTAAAGACGTGGCTAAGCAGTAAGAGAAATGAAAAGATGCTAGTGAGCTTTAAAATTAAACTGTGTCTGGCCAGCTCCATGGTTTCATTTTAAAACGTCTGAAAACCAAGCTAATGACTGTGCATTTGAATTCTGCAGTAATTTCAACTTGAAGCCATCCCCTCTTCCTTTTAAAGGAGGAAAACACGTAGAGAAGGAAGAAGCACAAACTCCACCCATATACTAAACGAAAACACTTTTTATAAGATCAATCAAGTGCAATTCACTGAAGTCAGGGTACCAGACGGAAACCACCGCTCAACTTAGTGTCCAGGAGAAGTCCCTTTACAGGAAGGGAATGCCTGGAAGAACAGGTGGATTTCTAAAATGTTTCAGTATAAAACCAAGACTTCATCTTACTCTATTGTGCACACTGAAACTGAACTGGTCAGTTGGATTCCAAGCGAGGTGACCACAGAATTTGAGAGAGTTAAAAGGAGGCATCATGCTGAGGATGCACCCCATTCTTAAATGACATTTTTAGATCTCTAAAGCCAGAGAGGGTTTTAATTAGCATTCTGTGCAAAAATTAGAAAGGGCAAGGTCTGTGGACGGTTGCCAAGGGATCGGGGTTTACCTCGAGGCACAACTAGTTCACTGATGGGTGAGGCTAGTACCCTAGGACCCAGAATAAACTGGCCTCGACTCAGCTCATCTTTTTGTTATGAGGAAAAGGATCTCATCCCCAAAGGGCTGAGGCACACGTCCTAAGCTCTCCATCAAGCGAACTCACAATTTTCCGCTCATAAAACGCCCCGCTGCTGTAGGTGGTGGCCAGAGTGGACGCACACTCCTCGAGGTACCACGGCTTGTAGCCATTCTCGGTGGTGCTGCTCACAGAGATGGTGTAGATGCTGTTGGTGTAGCCGTCACAGGAACAGTAGTCCCCCTCTCTCCCACCGTTCCCGGATGCCCAGACGAAAATGGAGCCCAGGCCCTGCCGGCCCTGGAGGGGAAAGAGAACAACAAGGCGTCAGCCCCAGGAGCTGGCACCTCACAGGGTGGGTCTTGCAGTTGGCCTGGAGTCCCTCCTTCTGAATGTCCCTTCAAAGGGGCGAAGAAGGATACATTCAGACTATCTGGATACCACCAAGGACACGGTTTTGTAGGCTCTGTTCTGATTTTAATAGAGTACTTCTGTCTGTGGCGACAGCCTTAGAACTGCAGAATCACAGGGTCATACTGAGGGGATGGCCCAGGAGGTCCTCTTTGTTCTTCACAGGAAAATCAGGGGCCTCATACAAGCTGCTCTAGTCCACAGCTAGGCCTCTGATTTCCATCATGATGACCTACGAACAATAAGACCGATCGGCGCCCCAAGTAATACAGAGGTGAAAGCTGATGGCTGAATTTATAATGCTAATTTTTCTGGATTGAAAGAACTGGTCCTGTGGTGAAGCGGGCAAATTTTCCTGAAAACACAGCAGAAGAAGTACTCTATGTGGAGAGGCAGCTAATTTTGAAAAGAGGCATGGGACTGCGAATTCTGGCTGAAGATCCAACAGGTCAAACGGGTTGACCAGAATGCCCGTGGCTGCTCGCGGCCATCCTAGGAGAGCTCCCAGGGTCTCCACCTGAGGAAGCATTGAAGTGGTGAGATTGTCAACACCCGCCAAGGCCCGTGGCTGCTCGCGGCCATCCTAAGAGAGCTCCCAGGGTCTCCACCTGAGGAAGCATTGAAGTGGTGAGATTGTCAACACCCGCCAAGGCCCGTGGCTTCACCCGGGTGTGGGTTTTCGCTTTTAAGAACGTACACATGAAAGCAAGTCTTTGAAAGACAACAGCAGGTGAGGGCAGGTTCCTGCAGTGCTGCTCTATCCCACACCCACGGGATCAACGATTTCTGACCAAACCAAGTGCTTATCCCAGCCACAAACACCAGCAAAGGATTAATCCATGACGGCACTGATCTATTTGGTCCAAGTGGCTGGACCTGTTGGGGGTGCACAGCCAGCCCCATGAAACTGGACCCACGGGGCTGCTAACTTCGATGTCTTTGCCAAGGACCCTCCTTTCCAAACATGCAAGAGGAAATTGATACTTATGCCCCAAAACTGGCCAATTTAAAGACAACTTTCAACAAAATTCTGCAGTCCTTGTAGAGTAAACTGAAGGCCTGCTACTGACTGCACACATTACACTCCCTCTCAGAGTTCAAGTCCCCAGGCTGTGTGGACTCGCCCGCTCTGGAAGCCCCAGGTCATGCCCTTTGTAGACCGGGTGGATCACAGTTCCCTGCCCTTTTGTGCCTATTTGTCATAACTCTGAGCACTGACCCAGTGCTCCAAGCTGCCTCACTCACTCCGCTTTCTGCATCTCCAAGGTGGACCTGTCTGAATGGGCAAGAGCTTGGCAGAAAGGTTACTCACATCTAGCAAAAAAGTCAACCTTGCCGAAGAAAGGCACAAGTACTAAGGAAATGGGTGTGCCTGTGCATACAATTACCTGAAGGTAAAATTAATCAAAGGTAGTCCAAAGCCACTAAAATCCAAATGAAAAGGTGTTTAACCCCTCAGAGCCTATTTTGATTCCATGAGAATCACTAAAACACTATCACCCTTAACTCCCCACCCCACTCCAAATTATTTATAAAAGGTTGTCATGTTGCAGAGAGGGACACGCAACGTTATTACTCCAGCAGCACAGAGAATGGCCTTGAACAGCACTCCTCATACTTGAATGTGTACACGAATCTCGGGGGTCTTGCTACAGCACAGACTTGGATTCAGCAGGTCTGGGGTGGGCCCGAGATTCTGCATTTCTAACGCGCTCACAGGTGATGCCAGTGCTGCCGCTTCTGGACTCCACTTTGAATCACAAGGGCCTAAAATGCCAAAGGCCTTCGCCTTCCACCTTCCACTGCGCATTTTTTGCAGACCAACAGTTCTCATAGGCGTCGAGCCAGCAAAAGCCTCTTTCCCTTCGGAACACAGTTTCCTGGAAAGAGAACATGGAAGCAGGCAGAGGGCACACCCAGATCTGAGCTGTGGAGATGTTCTGGCTGTCTCCGAGGATGGCATTTTCACATTCCAGATCTTCTGCTCATATGGCAGCCACAGGACGGCAACAATACAGGACATTTCAACCACAGCCGTGAACCGACATTGCTGTTCAGGAAAGCCACAACTTCAACCGGATCGAAATGCGTCTCAGTGTCTTGCCAGAAGTGGAGAGTTCATCCATGAACTCAGAAGCAGCGTTAGTGAGGGCTAGCAAACGGCTGGCATCTGGACAAGACAGCATTTTCAGCCACGGTGATGCTTAATCCTCTCTTCTGGGTGACAGGCCCGTGAGGAGTAAGGCTTGGTAAGGACCAAGTTAAACAGATCTTTATGCCAAACGATGGCTTCTGAAGGCTCCGACCACCAAACCACATAATTTACCAAAGATGAAGTCAGATTTTACAGAAAAAGACTGTAGGTGACAAATGGGGCAGCGAGGAGGAAAAACAGATGGGGATGTGGTTTGGTTTGAGATCATCAAATTTCTAGGAGGATTTTCAGAGACAATTTTAGACAGTTGTGATTTAAGGCTCCCTATGTGACATATTTTCCTTCAGAATGACTAACAAAAAACCGAAATGACCTCAGTATTTCAGGAAACCGTGACAAGAATGACAGGGAGCCACATGGTCCCCTTTGCAACTTCCTCACTCCCCTGACAGTTCGATGAAGCGATGCCGCTCCGAATTCGGAACGCAAAGAACCCCTCTCTGCAGCTCCAGAATTTCCGAAGTCCTACATGGGCTCCATCCACGCAAACCGAAGTGTAGTCAAGAACCCAAACAATCGTTTCAAAACAATGGTTACCTCTCCAGGAAACAGAGGGCCCCATCCCAAGATCAGAAATCATCTCAGAGAAATGTCAGACGCCCAGAATTAATGTTGTTCAAAGCAGTAGCTTTCATGCAGAAAACATAATCTCTAATTTACAGCCTAAATTAAGTTTAATTTTCAGGATGTTTCACTTGTCATCAGGAATGAGATCCAAGTGATTTACTTGTCGGCGGGAGCCGAGTATTGGGAAGATGAGAACTTTTTATTTGGTAGTCCCTCACGGGTAGCGGCTGACTTGGTCACACCTGAACCTTCCAGCATCCTCAGGCCAGCCCAGGTGCTCAGCAACCTGACTGAAGCAGCCTTGCATTTTCTTGGCATTGTGGGGACCAAGGTCCTAGCATGAGCACGAGTTTGAATGCTGTGGATGTTTTGGTTGTTTCTACACTGCCTCTCTTCTTTGACTTTTTTTCTTAAATCGAGTGTCCAGCTGAGTACTGAGCTCTGAGGAACACGATAGTGGTCACTCCGCTTTTGGTCACTGGCTTTTCAGACATTCAAGCCCTGAGCTGATGGAGGAGAGGGCAGCGAAAAGGAAGCCTCGGCCTTGTCCACGTGGAGCAACATCACATCCACTGGGGGAGGTGCAGGCTGGCTCACCAGCCAGGAGGTGCAGAACCACGTGGTCCTGGGAAGTGTGGGGAAATGGGAGAATTTACTGGCATTTAGTGGGGGGTGGGGGGATGGGGAGGTGGCCAGGTTGGGGGCATTCTAAGAGATAAATACTTAGCCCCTATAAAAGGAAATTAATTGAAAATGACCAAACTCAATACATCCAGAAAAGCAATCAAATCATATTACTTAGAAAAAGGCAATCATGAACAAAGTTAAACAAGATTGCTCCTCTGTGGGGCAGGACTTGGGGATGGGTGGGGAGACGAAGAAGGGCTGCTTTCAACAGGGTCCTCTGGTACAATTTGATTTATTCACTAACCATTGATTTACCACATTTTAATCACTGTGCATGAGTTACGATAAGGGAACTTTTAAAATATGTTTTTACATATATAGATACTAAAATGAGCCTCACCCACCTGCCCTGCTCCTCCATTCTCCCGTCTCTCACACGAGAAGTCCGAGGGGTAAATGCTGCCCGGGGGATGCCTGGGCTTCCCTCCTGAACCCCGCCAGCACTCACTGAGCCACACCTTATGTGCTGGGCTGGGGCTTGTTGGGCCACCCAGGGCTGGCAAGACGCTGACCACAGCTCCGTCTGTCTGCTCCAAGAAGCTATCCTTGCCCAGAAATCTGCCTTGCCTCTTGCTTGTAAGAACTGGGTCATCTCCTGTCCCCCCACCCCACTCCAGACTTTCTGACTCACAAGGTCCCAGAACTGATGATCACAGAGTGGCTGGGGGTGGGCCTCCCAGAAGGAGCCTGCCAGCCGCCTCCCGCCAGGTCCCCTTAGCCAGTCAGTGGAGAACCAGCACTCAGATGTTTGCTCTGTTTAGTCCCTGGTGAGGTTCTACCCAAAACATCCTAAACATGCTGGGCTGCATGCTGGCAGGGAGCACAACAAGCCCAAGCCTTCCTGCTGGGGCTGGATTAGTGCAAGCCCTGCAATGGATGAAGAGAGCTCCACAGCCGGGTACTTTTGTGGGCAAAAGTCTGAGGTCCAGGACACCCCTTCCACCTGCATGGTAACAGGCCAGGTGCCTGACTAAGACCCCTATCAGCCGCCTGCACACACCTCTCAGCCGTGGGCGGTCAGGCTCCAAGGAACAGAGTCCTGGGGCTGGCGGGTGACCAGCTGGCTCTCGCTGGAACAGCTATTCTGTCACGAGGTGAAATAGCCCTGCTCTGGTTGGTAGAGAGCCGCTTCCGAGAGCCCGTGAGTGACTTCTCTCTCACTCTGGTCCTGGCACAGCAGGCCTTCCTGGTCCTGTTTCAGGGCTCCGGCCTATGTCACTCTGATCTTTCGTTGTTAAAAAATGTTTTACTAGTCCCCCCGCCCCCAAGAGCCCCACCGCAGCCCCGGGTTACTCACACCTTTTTAATGCCATACTCAAAGGCCTGTTTAGCCAGTCGGCCAGGCCCGTCCACTGTCTTCCCGTCGTCGTCCGGCCCCCAGCTGGCGCTGTAAATGTCTATGTAGTTGGGCCTGATGCCCAGAGACTTCGCCTCGACCACATCTGTCACATCTCCGTCCAGCATGCGGATGCCTGAAAGCACAGAAGGAGGCTGACATCCGTGCTCACCTGGTGCTTTTATGAGCCCAGAGATTGTGATCCTGGGGACAGGGCGGCCAGAGAGCCCCAAAGAGCTTAGGAGTTTTTCCATTGTCATTTTGGTAACCTTTCTCCCCATTCCGTGCTGGCCAATGTGAAAGAATTAAAATGACACCCCAGGCCACATTGTAGTGTGCCACGCCAAGATGGCAACAAAGAAAACAAAGCTACTTGGAAAACACAGGATTTAAACAGTTTCCTCAGTACCATGACGTCACACTGGTATTTGAAAATGGACATTTCTATAAGAGAACTCCAGAGCTGTTTTCAACTTTCCCGGCTGTTAATAGTTTATGTTTGTTTTTCTTTTTTAAGAAAATTAGCCCACCCCTGATTTATAATTACGAGTTTTGGGGAAGGCAGAGGCCACACCCTAGTCCATGCAGGAGGCGCCATCTCATCTCCTGTGTATTCGGGCTCCACGACCCTTGGAGGGGTCTTCAGGAGGTGGCAAGAACAGCTTCCTCGGGAGCACCCCAAAAGGAGAGGGGGCGAGTGGGCTCCCACAAGCCTCCCAGCGCTTGCCTCTCCAGCCAAGGTCTCTCCTCCTTGCCCCAGAGCCCAGCATTTGCCTCCTTACTGACTGCACTCTGCATCCAGCAGGTGAGGTCCCCCACCTCACCCAAGGGCCTCAGCCAGAGAAGGGGTCTCAGTGATGCTGGCAGATGACCGGGAAGCAGCCACCAGCCCATCCTGCCTGGATACTAGTGAATACAGAAATTTGTACCTCTCTGCGGCTCAGGAAACCTCTGCCACCCCACCTGGATCAGCACTCTACATGGCTGTGCAGCACCCACAGCCACCCCCTCAGAGGCCCCCAGGAGCCCCTCCTACACCAGGCCCAGCTCCCTCTGCATGAGCGATGGCCATGTCTTTCATCAAAACAAACTTCAAATCTCAGAGCTATTTAAGATGTCATGGAAAAGGGGACTTTTTCTGATTACAAGAATAATATATGGTCTTTGCAGAAAGTTTGGGAAATAGAGAAATAACTCGTGACAATATTTTGGTTATTTTCTTCTAGTATATTTCTTTGCCCACAGCATCCACTTTCTCTAGAAGTCTTTTTATCCCACTGAGCTGTATGCAAGACATTTCCCTGCGCCCTTAAAGATTCTTCCAAGACGTGGTTGTTAACGTTTGCAGCCCCCTCTCCCGTGCACCCCCAGCCCAGGCAGCACTCTTTCTGGGGCCCACCTCACCAAGCAGAGGTGCCCCCAGACTGGACTGGGTCTATTCATTCTATTTCCCAGAATCCACATCAACGTATAGGAGGTTCTCAAAAAACAGAAACTCTGAATGTAGTTCATTAAAAGAAAACAAAATAATGACTTTTCCCCCAGGTGAAACGAGAAGGTACAGGACTCAAGCAGGAAGAACCACAGGAAGGAGACTCTGAGGAGACACTGCCCCAGGTGCTCAGGGACAAACTTTTTATGGAAATTAAGTCCTCCTGTCCCATCCGTTTAAACCGTAGTCGTGGAGATGCCCCGCTGTCACTTTTGATGGATAATTAGTGGGCAAGATCCCTAACACATCAATTTCAAATGATCTCGTCCTCTAATCTCTCGCCCAGTTGCACACGGCTCGTAAACAAATAACTAAAGGCACTTCATGATTTGTCAGGGTGAGAAACTTCCTATCTGAAGAACATCTGAAGAAGACGTAACTGTAGTAAATTCTTCCCTTCTATCAATCATTCTACCTGGTTTTGAAGGCTCAGGTTTTCCTGAGGTTTTCTCCTTAACATCTGCCCTGAAGTTCCCCAGTTGTGAGCTAGGAGAATATAAAAGTCACTGCAGGGGGTCCTCAGGAGGCCGGGTAGGCGACCAGTGGTGGTAGGGACAGGGAAGGCCACTCTAGGGCACATCGTTCTTGGCCCCATACCCGGGTGGGACACCAAGCTCAACTGGAAACTCTGCTATAAAAGCCTGGGAATTGTACTCAGAATCAATGCCTGAGAAATTTATAGCCAAACAACAGTGAGGCTGAGGTCTGGGTGACACGAAGACGTTCACCAACAGTGCCAAGAGCCATTCGGGAGTGTGGGCCAAGTGGGCATGGGCAGCGACTGAAGATGACGCTGAAGTCATCAGAAGAACCGTCTGTTTATAGCTGGAAGGCCTTAAAAAGGAGCAGTAGAAATAAACTTCAACACCATCCATCTTCTCTTCTATCTATTTCCCTTCCTTTCTGCACTATCTGCTACGTTCTGAATGTCTGTGTCCCTCCGCAAATTCGTATGTTGAAACCCTACCCTCCAATGTGATGGTACTTGGAGATGAGGCCCTTTAGGAGGAAATTAGGTTTAGATGAGGTCATGAGGGTGGGGTCCCCATGATGGGAGTAGTGCCATACAGACTAAAAGAGATGATTCATGTAAAGCGTGTGGCGTGCAATAAGTACTTAACGTACGTGTTAGTGGCTGAGCCTGTTTCCCCACCTGTAAAAATGGGAGTAATGACACCTACTTCAAGAGGTTGTTTATAACAATAATTACTTTTTACCTTTATTTAAAAAAAATTGACTATTTGATATATATGAAGGATCAGATGTCACATACATGTTAGTTACAAAGCCCAATAAAATAATGGACACCCATGAACCCTCCACCTGATGTGAAACGGTCGTGACCCACTGGGGTGCATACCAACGCCCTGCCCCTCACTGAGAAATCTGCTCAGAATTTTGGATTATTCCTTCCATTGCTTTTTAAAAACTACCATTTTATACAATTGTATGAATGCTTAATAATATATTGCTTGGTTTTGCTTGTACTGGGAATGAATCCTTTGTTGGTTATATATATTGTAAATATCTTCTCCCAGTTGATGCCTTCTCTTCTCACGTTGTTTATGGTGTCTTTTCACAAATAGAGGTCCTTAATTTCAACAGAGTAAGAACTAATTTCCCTTTGAAGACGAAGGGAGTTACAACGAGGGCCAAACCTTTTCTGGGTTTGTCGGCATCTATCATGGGGTTCCTTTCTCTCTTTTATCGACGGGGCAGAGCCACCTGCAGCCACAGCCCACATGGCTGTTACATCAACTCACTGTACTTTCTCATTTCTGATTTCTGGATGGACAGGAAGAGTCAGGGTGGCCCGAAGTACCATCATTCCCACAGTCAGTGGTCTGTGTGCCCAGGGCTTCCGTGTCCATGGCTGTGTCAGAGATGCTGGACCCAGGTGCTCAGCTCCCTCTGCCACAAAGCCCCCAGAGAGGGGCCGTGACCAGTGTGGGACATTGGCAGCGGGGTGTGGCAAAGGCATGGCCCTGGCAAGACGGAGAGCAGCTCGCAGTGGGGGAAACACAGCAGGGTCTGAGAGTCCTGGGGTGGAATTTCGGCTCTGTGGGACCTTGGGCCAGGGCCTCAAACTCTCTGAGCCCTTGTTTTCCATGATATTTACATGGGGGTAGTTGAGAGGATTAAATATATGTTGAGGCCCTGGCACCCAGCACTGCTTGAGAAATGGCAGCTGCATTGTTTACGCCCTTACATCTGGCAATGCACTTTTCGGGGCAGGAGATCCCACCGGCCGCACAGACAGCCAAAACCATTCTGATGTTCTAGTGGAGAAGTGGAACCTGCTATTCTAGGACTTCTCCATGCGTGTCACAGGTGTTGGAAAGCCTATTTTTGAACAAGAAGAACAAGATGGCAGAAGACATCCAAAAGTAAGTAAAAACAAACAACCAGAATGATTTCCCAACACTTCTCACAATGCTTTTCATCTCAGAAGAGCAGTGACTGATGGGCGAGAAAGAAAGCATAAGGCATTTAGATTTTAATGAAGTATCTATTTCCCCACGGCTGACAAGTTGCCAACAAAGAAAAGGTAAATATTTTCAGTAGAAACCTGCTGTTCCAATATTAGCTTTAAATGTGAATGGCTCCCTGGAAATGCCGAATTGAAGAAAAACAGTAATCATTTCTCTAATGAAAAAGGAAAGACCTGTTTACCATAAATTGTCAGGTATAAAAATAATTTGGGCAAATCATTTGGATGGCAAATTAACTGCCGGGTGTTAGCGTGCCCATGATTGCTGCAGTGCTGGGTTCAGAGCTCATGGCAGCAGGAGACACAGGCCTGGTCCACTCCGAGGACAGGACTGCGGGCATGAAGCGGAAGGAGTGTTGCATTGAAGGAGGGTGGTGCTGTGCAAGACCTGACCAATTTGAGATTGGGTGAACAACTCAGAATGCTCTGGGGGCTCAGTCCCCCAGCAGACAGCTCTGGTTGCGCACTGAAGCTGCATGCAGCAAAGAACCACACAGGCTTGCCTCACTTTAAACCATATATGCTTCCCTATAAAATTGCCTGAACCCAGTTATACTTTAAATGCCCTGGGAGAACTTGCTGAAATGAATGATTTTACAAGTCTCTTGGTAAAGTTAAAAAAACCAACAATGCTTTTTTCATAGTGACCCGTCCTTCCTCCCTTGCCCTGTTCTAATTTAGAGCGCGCCTTTCCAAATTACAGGCTTGTATAAGGCAAGGCAAACCTATCGACGTGCAGTGGACCCCGTAAAGCAGCACAGGATACAGATTTCTCCTGAAAACTTTCCGAGGGAGCTCAATGTTAAACAGCAATGGGGGAGACGAGAGTGTGCCTGTACGTGGAGATAGGGTCTTTAAACAGGTGATGAAGCTAAAATGAGGTCATATGGGTGGGCCTTAATCCAATATGACTGGTGTTCTTATAAAAAGAGGAAACTCAGACACAGATAACACACAGACCCAGGAATGACCATGGGAGGACACAAGAAGCAGCAGCCATCCGCAAGCCAAGGAGAGAGACCTCAGAAGAAAACAAACCTGCCAACACCTTGATCTTGGACTTCTCACCCCCAGAACTGAGAGAAAATACATTTCAGTTGGTAAGGCAAAAAAAAAAGGCAATGAGAAGAAGACAGACAGACAGACACACACA